GCTGTAGCTTCCAGATTGTCTTCAAGAGCTGACCCTTGTAATGCAAATTGCTGTAATCATTTTAATCTGCGCGATTCACCAGCAATACTACTGTAAACCCCCTTAAATGGTATGCTATTGATCAATGTATTTCTAAATTGTATTGGAGGGCTTGTAATTACATTACTTTCGTCTATGCAACTGTCCATTTGGATAAAAATATTGAACATGAATATTTAACACTGTTTATCTTTAGGATTACAGATGTATTTATGTGTAATCCCAAAGTGTGTAAGTATGTGCTTGCTTTTGTGTGGTTTTGGTTGTTAGAGTTTTTTTCCCTCTTGTTCTGTTGAACATTGTAAATGTAAATAAATTAAAAAATTTAAAAAGATGACTCCTCTTTTATTTTATATTGCAGTTAATGGGATTAATGAATCAATTTTTGTGAGATGGGTGCCTATATAAATTTGATAATAAATAAATAAACAAACCCTGCTGATTATGAATATTGCTTGAGCAATGCATAAAATTTCCTGTCTTAGCTGGCATTAAATGTATTCCTGACCCAGTTATTATTTAATTGGATAGCTATTACATTAATTAGAATGCCAATAATTAAACCTTGCTCAAGAAGCACCATACTAAACCATTGTAAAGATAAAGCTAGAGAATAAAAATATCTGGCAAATGATTAAAAGGCTATTTCTATTTCTATTCAGAAGATTCAGATATTATTTGCAGCTGTTTTGTAAATCATCCATTCCTCCATTCCCCTATTAATTTTCCAAGCTGAAATCATGCCACCAATAACTGATGAGATCTAACATCACATGATATTTCAAAAAATTGCATTTCTGTAATCTTTAGTTTTATGTAGACTTTCCTGTCCCAAAGAAATGATGCGTATATAATGAGGTTATGGGGCCATACTTTAATCTTTGTCCCTCTCTCTTTCTCTCTCTCTGACACACACAACCTTGTTGCATGACTCCTAGCATTCTGTAGATTCGGGCAGGAAATATGTGCAGTGAATGGGAAAATTGTTTTGTTTCCACATCAGATGTGCATGTATTTTTGTGTGCATTTCCCTGTCCTTTTATTCTATCTATCTATCTATCTATCTATCTATCTATCTATCTATCTATCTACCTATCATATATATATTAGTTTAATAATAATAATACTAAT